TTTCTCCACTTTTTTTGAGATACAACTCACATACCATAAAATTTACCATTTTAAAGTGTACAATTCAGTGGTTTTTAGGATATGCACAGAGTTGTGCAACCATCACCATATCTAATTCCAGAACGTTTTCGTTTCCCCAGAAGAAGCCTGGTGCCCATTAGCTGTCACTCCCCATTCACTCGTCTTCCTGGAAACCACTGATCTACTTTCCATCTCTATGGATTTGCCTCTTCTGGAAATTTCTTGTAAATGGAATCAGATAATATGCATGGCTTCTTTTTTCTTTTATGTCTGGCTTCTTAGAATTAAAATTTAAAGGAATAATGGCATATCTATATAGGTCAAGACTGCTTTGGTCACAAGTGGTAGAGACCACAACCCAAACTACCTTTAGCTAAGTAATGAATGAACGAACGAGGAATGGATTTTACTAGCTCTCACAATTAAGAAGTACACAGGTATCTGGTGTCAGATACAGCTGTGTCCAAAGGCTCTAAGTGCCCTCAGGACCCAATCTTGTTCTGTCTCTCTGTTCTGTTTTCTTCAGTGTTGGCTCCATTGTCAAGCCAGTGGCATCACAGTGGCTGGCAGCTCATGAATTATCTTCTGTCCTTTTTACCAACCCTGGCATAAATAGAGATTCTCTTCCTTCACAGTTAAAAGTCCTAGATCCGAGACTCACTGGGCCATCCGGGTCTTGAGCCCATTCCTGAGCCCGATATCATGGCTGAGAGAGAGAGAATACTCCGTTTGGCCAGGCTCGGGCCATATGCCTGTCCCTATGTTGCCCCACTTGTTGTCCAGAGGGATTTGATGTCCTGATTATCCAGGCCTGGGTCACATGCCCACCCCTGAAGCCAGGCAAGGAATCAGTCCATCTGGCCACATGAGCTGACAGAAAAAGAGGGAGGATTGGTATTCGGAAGGCAAAATCTACAGATGTCACTACAATGTCAGTGCTGAATCAATCATTAGGAATCAATTAGTCCAACCTCCTCAACTTACAGATGGGGAAACTGAGGCACGGAGATGCTTTCCCCAGGCCCCTTGAGTCATGAGCAGAGCTGTGTTGCCCTTGTCCTGCCAAAGACCCAGTCCAAATCCCACCCCCACCCCCAGGCTGGGTATCAGTCAAGTCAGCAACAAAGCAAAGCATGTTATTTTGATTTGTTTCCCACCCATACTCCTCCTGGCAGGGCCTCTTCATGTTCCAGGTAGCTTAGCCTAAAGTTTATCACGTTTTCCAGGCTGTCTGGACAGGGGCATTTGTGCTGAAATAAAATACCCACATGATCTGATTCTGCACACCTCAAGAGACTAAGGAGTCTTCCTGGGGATCTTAATGGTCACAACCCTATAGGATATGCAGAGAAGGGTGTCTGGTGTTGCATTTGTGCTGAAATAAAATACCCACATGATCTGATTCTGCACACCTCAAGAGACTAAGGATTCTTCCTGGGGATCTTAATGGTCACAACCCTATAGGATATGCAGAGAAGGGTGTCTGGTGTTGAGAATGTTCATCCATCTATTCTTTTGTCCTTTCCACAGGAGCCCCAATCATCACTCTGTGCTAGGCTACTGGGATACAACAAAAGAAGTGCTCACCCCAAAGAATGCCCAATCCAGAGGGAAGACAGACATGTAAAAAGTCAATTATAGTACAGAACTTTGGTGTTACAGGAACATATGGTGCAGGGTCCTAGCAGAAAATAGATGCCACATTCAAAAGGGGTGATTGAAGAGGATTTAATGAAAAGACTGTGTAAGAAGAAGCACCTCAGGGCTAGCCACAGTAGGAAGTTGCTACCACCGCTGAGCTTGAAAGAGCAGTTAGCGGAGCCCAGCAAGACCTGGAGCTGCAGCGGTGCTGCCAGACAAGAAAGGCAGCTGCTGCCCCGCAAGGAAGAAATGGCCCAGTCTCTTTCTTCCACACTCTGGTCTCCCACCAGTACCTCATATTAGCCAAACAACCAGAAATCCAAGTTCAAGGGAGCCCTTTGATGCAGTCCACAGAGGTCAACTACCTGGACACATGATAGGGTAGAAAATAGCAGAGAGAAGTTCCGGAGGGGCAAGCAGAAGGCAGTCTACGCAGCTGGGAAGAGCACCCAACCAGCCTAGGGGCAGAGGGGGCAAGTCTCTTGATGGGATGCCCGCATGGAGGAAGGGTTCTCCAGACAGAGAGATGATGGCGTATAAAGGCCCAGGCATATGGGAGGTGTGATATATTCTGGAATCTATAAGAAATCTCATGTGGCTATAATTAGGGGACCGAAAGAGGAATGGCCAGAGGTGAGACCCAAGGCTTGGGGGAGGGAATAGGGCTTTCTGTTCCCAAGGGCCTTATGTGTGTAGTGGTGAGAGTCTGGAAAGCAAAGCCACAGTAGAAGGTGATAGAATATTTGCATATCAGCAGGATTGCTCAACCAGCATTGCAAAGAGTGAGTGAAAGACACATAAGGATACTCAGCAATCTAAGTGAGTGATGATGGGGACACGAGCCAAGCAGTTGTCTTGCAAACATTGAAGAGGACCTAGGTTTGAGACATATTAAGGAGTTAAAAGGGCTTGGTGACCAATTGGGTGATTGTATTAGTCCTCTTCTGTTGCTTATAACAAAATACACAGAACTGGGTGTTTTATAAAGAAAGCAAAATGATGGCTTACAGTTTCTGAGGTTGGGAAGTCCAAAGTCCATCTTGTAGTGGCAACGGTGACCCAGGGGTCTCACATTGCAAGATAGTGGAAGAAGAGTGAGTAGAGAGACAGAGACAGACTCTCCTCTTCTTTTAAAGCCCTCAGAACCACACCCCTGACCACCATTTTTAATCCGTTCACTACTGCACGGTCCTACAATCCAACCACCTCTTCACGGCTCCACCATTCAATTACCATAATAGGATTTCCCACCTTCTTAACAATCACAGTGGGGGCTAAGTTTCCAATATGTAAAGCTTGGGGGACACAATTCAATCCACTACAATGATGAAGGTGAAGGTGAGGGAAGGCTGGGATAAACTTTCATTCATCAGAAAAGGAAGAGTGGCTTCAGAGCTGGGCTTCTCAACCTCAGCACTATCCACCTTTGGGTCTGGATAATTCTGTTGTAGGGGGCTGTCCTATATAGTTGAACAACATAAAATTATACTTGAATTTTCGATCCCCAAGCAGTTGAAAATTCGAGTGTGACTTTGACCGGAAACCTTACCGACAACATGAACAGTCCATTAACACGTATTTTCCATGTAATGTGTATTATATGCTGTACTATTACAATAAAGTAAGCTAGAGAAAAAAATGTTAAGAAAATCATAAGAGAAAATACATTTTAAAAACACATTGAAAGAAACGCGCAGTTCAAACTTGTGTTGTTCAAGGGTTGACTGTACATTGTACAGAATGTGCAGCAAAAATGTTTAGCATCCACTGCTTCTATCCACTCGATGTCAGCTTTCCATCAACCCACTCAATTCATGATAATCAAAAATATCTCCAGACATTGTCCGATGTCTCCTGGGGGGTAAGGAGCAAAGTCATCCAGGCTGAGAACTGTCAACTTGGGGGAAAGCAGGTTTGATTATGGGCACGTTGAGTTTGAGGTACCCATGAGATATCTGAGGGGAGATGACAGACTAGCGCTTGGATTTCGGATTTGGAGCCCAAAAGAATGGTATGGGCTGGTGACTCAGGCTTAGGAATCATGAGCGTATAACTGACCTGTATTACACAATGTCCTGAAATACGAGGGTACTTCAAGAAGTTCATAGAAAAATGCATAGTATCTTTCCATTTTTCCACAAACTTTTTAAAGTGCCCTTGTATAAGCAGAACCCCACACCATAACTTCCCAGACCTCTGTCTTCAGTGAAGTGCTCCCAGTTTTCTTTCTTTCTTGTTGACATTTATGTCGGCGGGGAGCAGGGGATAGGCGGGAAGGACAGATCAGGTTATCATCGGATCGAGCTTTTCTAAGCATCTAGTTCAAGGGACAGAGGTCTGAAATCAATGAACGTTTGAAACACCCTGGCTCACAAGCCTTGTATTTGTCTCTCATCAAGGCCTTTACATTGCTTTAGCATCTTTTAGGCACCTTTTGTGGAAGTTTAGTTTGAAAGATCTGGCATTCTTAAAACATTTATAACCTTTTATGTAACATGGTATAAACCCTTGTTATAACATAATGCTGCATGACAGAGGCTATGTTCTCAATGTTGAGAAGTTGAAAGAACCTTCATTTGTCAATTTTGTAAACCATAAGAGGCAAGAGTCCACAAGAAGAGCATAAAGGGGCCTGGTGAAGCCCCCAGCAAAAAAAAAAAATTCCCAAAAAGGGGTAGGAGTCACATATTCAGGTTAATTTCTCCCAACCTGATTGAGGTCTCTCTCTCCCTGTTTTGGAAGTGGGGGCAGGAGGTGGGACAAGGTCCCAGGAGGCAGATTCTGGGGAACTGTGAAGAAGGAACCTTGACATCTACAGTAATTAAATATCACAGAGGCAGGCTTAGACTACACACTCTTTCGAGTACCTTCCATATGCTAACTGCTTCCATGCACACAACTGAAAGCAAGTGCAGCTTCAGTTTATTCCAGAACAAAACACAGTATTTGCAAACATAATCTTCCCCTAGTGCGACGTATCTATTTAATGACTGACGAGCTTTCTGAATGCATCCACTGAGGAAAAGTGAGCCAGTTCTTCATCAGATTTGAGTGTCTGTATCTTCCTAAGCTGATATCCTCTTGAACTAACCCAAACAGATGTGAATCAGAAAGCATGAAGACAAAGAGCTGTTTCTGCAGCATACACGTAATCAACAGTAAGTTCCACTTGACGTTAAGTCTGGCTATAAAAATCCAATGAAGCCTAGTTGTTCAGTGGGGTTTCCACTTTAATTTGGGGTTGCCATGATGTAATCAACAGTAAGTTCCACTTGACGTTAAGTCTGGCTGTAAAAATCCAATGAAGCCTAGTTGTTCAGTGGGGTTTCCACTTTAATTTGGGGTTGCCATGATTCATTCCATAACAGGTACTCTATATTCTATTTCTTTGCTCCCTCTACCTGCTCCTCTGTCTCTGTCCTCAGGCAGACATGGTCCCATTCCCATTACTTGTAAACATCTGCTAAAGGGTGAGATGCATTTAGTTGGGCATCCAGCCTCAGGCTAATGAGGAACTTTATTCTCCACCAAAAGGCACAGTCATAGAGCTAAGGACAGAACCAGAGTTAGAATCCCCAGGCTACGTGGGTCAGAAAATAAGCAACAGGCTAGCATGATGAGAGATCATAATTTTAAGTCCAGAGTTAGAAAAATAGAGTTTCTTTCCCCTTTCTGTCATTCACTTGTTTCTTTCTTTATTCAAAAATATCAAAAAGATCATTGAAGAGAAGCACCATTTTCCCTTCCACAGTCTCCTTGAGCAGCTTCTCACTGGTGGTTTATTTGGATGACCATGGAGTGAATCCCAGAATAGAATTTGGGCCTCTGTCTTAGTTGGGCATCTCCACAACCCTAGAAACCATCCCAGTGGTCTGGCATTGGGTAGAGAAGGGGTGTTGCCTGGAGGGCTCCCCATGGGCCACAGCATGACTCCTATGCTGCAAGCTCACCCTGTGCACCCAACACTCCCCATCAAAGGCTGGTGTCGACCAGCTGCCCGGGCTGTTGTAGCACCTGCTTCCTTCTGCTTATGGCATTCAGAATTTTCTTCCTGGGACCCAGCTGGATTTGTATGCTCTGAAGGTCCTCATCAGAGCAAAGCAACAGAGCTTCTAGATCAATCTGCTCTCTCAAGAAAATGGGAAGGAATTCTTCCAGGTAATGTGACTGCAAGAATACTTCCAGGGGAGTGGCATCACCCCCATCTTCCTCCCACACCACTTCATCCTCATCCCAAGGCAGATCATCATTAAGGCTGTTTGGCTCTCCCTCCTCATCAGCCTCAGCTTCTGCCACTCCTTGCCTGTGAAGCAATTCACTGGGCATTTTAAATCCCAACTCCCCCTTGCTGTCTGAAATATCCTCAGGACTTGTCACGCTGTCCATTGTAAAAACAATACTTCCTAGACCTGGTCGGCTGAGAATGGATTCATGCTGCACGACGCTGTCCTCCTCTGCTGAGAACTGGAGCCTCTCTTTGAAGTCCCCCGAGAATGAGTCGTCTTCCTCCTCCTCTCTGAACACTTCCATCACGTTCCTCTGCCCACTTCTGCCTTCCTTCCCCACCTGCTCAGCTGTATCTTTGTTCTTCTTGAACTTTATCTTGAAGGTATCTTTAATGCTCTTAGACAGTGACCCGAGAGTGCTGGCAGCAGAAGCACTTGGAGAGGATGACCTAGAGAAGGTGCCCTTGGAAGAAGAAAGGGTCCCTGATCTATCCTTGCTGTAGGTGCGGGCCATCTTACTCTGGTGCTTCTCTTGGAGCCTCTCACACTCTTTGATCTGCCTCCTGGCATTCTTCTGAGCCTGCTCCTTCAGCCTGGCGACCTTCTTGGGGTTCGTGAGGTTCTGGGCTGTGGCAGCTTTATCCAGGAGAGCAACACATTCATTCTGCTCCCTGCTGGCAGCAGCATCCAGTGGAGTCTGTAAGTCATTATCCAGGGCAAAGATGTTGGCTCCAAAGTTGACCAGGAATGACACACAGTGGATATGGCCGTTGGAGGCTGAGTAATGCAGAGGAGTATTTCCCCAGATGTCACACCTATTGGGGTCTCCCCTAGAAAATATAAAAATACATGTTAAACTTTTTTTTTCGCTGAACACCAGCTCCAAAAATTAAAGACAAAAATAAAGAAAATGAGTGTTAATGCAAGCATGTTTATCCTGTCTTGGCATTGTTATAACTGCTGTACTTGTCGCATCCAGATACCACATGGCCAGAAACAGAAACAGCCCATCTCTATTCTATGTCTCCTTTTTAGAATCAAAAAGAGCTTTCCAAGAAACTCCCCAGCAGAGAAACTTCGATGTCTCATTGGCCATAACAGGGTCCCATGCCTAAGGGAAGGGAAATGCAGTACCATGTTTAACTCAGATGAGTTAGGATTTCCCCCTGAAGCTAGGAATGCGATTGTCCAGTAGTGTGCTGTTAAATGTTTTACTGGCTCATCCAGAAAAAGGAAAAAAAAAAGCCCTTATTTATAGCATGTGCCAATTTCTGTGTTATAAATACATCTACCATGGCAAATTGCAAGCTACCAATGTGACATCACTAGACACAGAGTTTAGAAGAGATACACAGTAGCATACCATTATAAATTATTTTCATTATATAGATATAATAGATGTGTGTAATCTGAAGAGCACAGGTAATAATAAAATGTAAAATAATTAAAAAGTGATGAGTTTTGAGTGTTACCTTTTTAATGTAATTTATTAAATTTTGTTCATATAATTTTATTTTTAATAATGGCTATGTTTAACTGACTGCCAAACTTTCTGAAAATTCAGCAATAACCTCTCACAAGCTGGCCCCTGCACGCCACTGCTATCCTTGAGTCACATGAAGGGAAATCAGTAACTGAACAAAATTGGGTCCCCATCAGCAAGAAGGAAGGAGTGGATGTTGGGTAGGTAGCAAACAGTCTGCTACGACCACGAGCCATACAAAAGGTAGAACATCTGTTTACTCCTGAACTCACTTCCTTGTAATTATAGGGCCGTGCGTGTGAATAGCTCTATGAGAGTGCAAGGTGGAACTGGGGATACTATTGGATGGTATTAAGGCCAGAGACCCAATGCACATCTTTACAATCAACCTGTTAGTGCTCCATGACCCCTCTACTAGTTCCTGGCTCCCTAAAGTTTCGTCCCCAGACCAGGAGCATCACTTGTGAGTTTATTAGAACTGCAGAACAAAGACATGGTAGGTACTCAATAAAGATCTGTGCAATGAATGAATGCCTACTGGAATCCCAGCCCAGGCTACAAGCTCTCCTGTCCTGTGAGACCTTGAGTTATGAACAGGCACAAATGAAAAGTAAAGTAATAACTTATTCTTAACTGTGGCTCTGGCCCCACACCACTGCTGAGAACTCTGGTAATACAGGTTTCTAAAGAGCACCTTTCTTTGCCCTAGTCTAGACCCTAAACTCAGGATCTCACTAAACTCCAGCCGGGCTGGCCCCATGGAAGAGGAACAGCAAATCTGAGAAAAACTCTGGTAATACAGGTTTCTAAAGAGCACCTTTCTTTGCCCTAGTCTAGACCCTAAAATCAGGATCTCACTAAACTCCAGCCGGGCTGGCCCCATGGAAGAGGAACAGCAAATCTGAGAATTCCTCTTCACATTCCTGGTGAGTAAAAGGCAGAAGCAGAAGAGAAGGTCCACACCCTTACAATCAACCTGTTAGTGCATCATAACCCTTCTGCTAGTTCCTGCCTCCTTAAAGTTTGGTCCCCAGACCAGCATCACCTGTGAGTTTGTTAGAAATGCAGAATCTTGAACCCCAGCCCAAACTTATTGAATCAGAATCTACAGTTGAGCAAGATCCCCAGGTGATTCATAGACTCACGACACATTGAGAAGAGCTGGCACTAGTTAATGTGGCCCAACCAGCGTCCTATAATTTAATGAATTCCTCCATGGGAACCTCCAGTGCCTCATGCTTTTTACTTATGAAGTATGTTCACATTTACTGCCCACCACCATGATCTCCTTCTCGGAGAAGGAAGGCAAGAATCATCATCAGATGAGCAAAATAAGACTGCAAGAGCTTAACTGATTTGCCCAAGGGTAGCGGGCAGCATTCTTGGATTAGGCTTGTCTTTAGGTCTAATCATCTCCAACACAATAAAGCCTTATGAATACAAGTCCATGTTTCCATTTTACCAGCTACAAGACCTCAAGCTTAACTTTTCTAGGACTTGGTTTCCTCATTCATAAATTGAGGATAGTGGTATTACCTACTCATGGAGTTTTAATGTGAACTAAATAAGGTGACATACATAAAGCACTGGGAAAAAGTTGGTACACGGTGAATACTCAATAATCATTACTTATTATCATTACCCGGTCTCTAAACACACAATCCTTAATTTCATATATATATTTTTTCACATCCATCTAGTAAATTCCCACAGCACAATAGCTATTGTAGTTTTTTTAAACACTTACAGTCTTACATAATTTGTCAAATATTTATGCCCTGTCTCCCTAATTAGATGATACTTCCCAGAGGACGAAGCCTATGTCTTTTTCTCTTTTGTATCATCTATGTCTTTTAGCAGGTCTCAAGTCTAGTCCAAAGATGCCAAGCAGGTAATGTGAGTGAGTGGGACGGTGGGGCCAAGTTCGTTCTTTCAGTCACAGTCAAGGCACACTCCATCTAGAAAGCACAGCACTAACAACTGCGGCTGATGCTACTTTGAAAATATGGCAAAAACAATCTTGTCAGAGCGTTCATTTTTCAAACAAAGCCATGTGAATTTTTTTTTATTTTTAAGCGTTGGCTCAAATTAAAAAAAAAAATACAGTGAAGTCCAAATAAAATGCATTTGTGGACTCGATCCAGCCCATATGCTGGTAACTGGCAACGTCCTTCTGAGCAGATGCACAGACAGCTGATATCACATGGCATATTTGGGAAATCAGGAGTATGCATCAGCGTGACCAGAGTACATGGATCTGGATGTAAGGGAAATAGTGGAAAGGAGATGGAAAGAAAATGAATCTAAGGAAAGCAAATATTAAATAACAGTTTTTCTGGGCAGCCACTTTCAAGAAGGTTCTGGTCAGTTGGGCTGATTTAATTGTTTTGGATCAAAGAGACCGCTTTCAACCTTGGCACAGTCGTGCACCTTAGCGGAGCACAGTGCCTCCCCCCAACATGTGGTTTCACTTTTTATTTATTTTAACCAAACACCATATTCAGAAGACTCCTTAAGTACTCTAGACATCAAAGAGGGATTGTAAAGCATCCAGGACATTGCTATAAACAAAAACATACTGATTAAATTTGCCTGAAATTATGACTGGATTGGGTAAGTTAAAAAAGAAATTAGGGGGAGGAATGGGAGTGGTAGAGATGTGACAGGGTATTAAGAAGCCTGGGTTAAATCTATATGCTTAAGGCCATAGGATAGTGGAATTTTCCCATCTCAATGGATCTTAAATACCTTCAAGATGGGAGGAAGGACATGAAGAAAACCTGAGATGACTCCAAAGGTGGGTTGTTTTGAGAAAATTTCAAAGGTAAAATTCCACATTTACAGATGAAACTGTCAGTAAGATGATTTGTGAGTTTTCCTAGTGCTTTTAAACTATTTCCACTTGCAAAACTTATATGTATATACAACTTTCCAAACTGATGTACAACTTAAAAAAAATATTTTCTACTGGTAAGTTTCATGGGTCCTTCTTAATTCAGTCTTTGTCATCTTTCACATTTCTTGATAGAACCACCGCATATACCTGCCCAGGAATTCAAAAACTGGTCCCCATGTTTGATGAGCTGAGTCCAGCACTGATGCTCTATAATTTACATGGGCTAAATTCAGTCCAGTGTTGATTTTTTTTTTCCTAATCCTTTTTTTTCCCCCAAAAGAGAAACTCACTGAAGAGATTTTAAAATAATCCATACTTTGCCCTTGATTTTTGGTAGATCAGTCAGTGCATGCAGGTAATAATTTTTTAAGTGGGCTTGGTATTACTGTCACTAAATAGGCAATTTGCTTAAATTAAATTACTCTGAGCATCTTTTCTATTCCAATTTCTACTTTTGAAGTTGATTTAATTTTTTTGTGAAGTTGTTCTCAGAAAACAATCATTCTTTCAAAAATGTTTTTCTACATAAAAGGAAATA